TCAGTGACTCTAGCTACACTGCAACATGAGCAATAGTCAAATGATGCAAAGTTTGGATTAAAGATAAACGAACAAAGTCAGCAATCAAGAAACCCAAAGTCACAGGGATATCGTTCAAAAGACTAAAAGCGACCTTAATCAGATGATAAGAACATGAAGGCTTTCTGGGAAAAACACGGTAGAAACAACAATAAGGATCATGATACATACAATCAACAAGGTAATAGAAGTGGGGACATCAACTACCAGGGGAACCAGAAGGATAAACCTGTGGAGACGAATGAGGGAGACCAAAGGCAGAAAGAGGATAGTCATGGCAAAAATTTGGATAAGATGAAAGGTACGCACCTGAACAACAATGGAAAAAGTAAACAAGAGCAGAAAAAAAAAAAAAAGACAAACAGAGAAGAAAAAGAGCAACAATGATAGTGTCACCTTTGGAGATGTTCACAAAGAGGAAAGAAAAACAAACAATATCAAAAACCTGGATAATGGCAACCATAAGAAAAAAAACCATGAATCGAATCCTTGACAAACCCAAAGATAGCAAGATGGAAGAGAGATTACAAACCGGTGATAGCCAGAATAGTGAGTGGATCAATATTAGCACGAACACTTTGTTAGTAGAAGACGAGACATATGGTTAGTTGAAGTGATCTACAACAACAAAGACCAACTCATAATGATTCATTCTTCAAAGGTTCAAGGGGACAGCGATCCTCTGGCAGCAGAAGCGATGGCGATTGCAACAGCCCAATTTCAATCATTGATTAATTGTACTAATTAATTGGTTTATGTGGTTTATTTGATTTAAATGAATTATTGGATTTAACTGATTTATTCTATTTGGTAGAATAATGTGGATTTACTAGATATTCTCTAATTAATTATGAGATGGGATATTTTATGAGAAAATGAATTGGTAAATATATTGGAGAGAAATAGAAGGGAAAGATATATAAGGAAAAGTGGAAGGAAAAGGAAAGAATAGAAAACATAAGAGAAAGAGAAGAGAAAGAAAGATGAAGAAGAGAAAACATAAGAAAAAAGAGGGGAAAGCTTGGAAAGCTCAAGAACAACTCCTAGCTTCGATTTAATCAAGTTAAGGGTGTGAAATGTTGTTATTCTATCCATGTTTATGATTATGTATGTGTTTGTTGGTTTGATTGAGATTGTTGAAGAGTTTCTACCATTTTCCCATTCTAGGGCATAAATTAGTTTAATCGGTAGAATCAAAGTTTTAACGGTTAAAATCGAGAATAAATTTCATAGTTTAGTCGGGTAATGCTTAGCCGTGATTATTGGACTTCGTTTGATCGAATTTGTTTGAGTTTGTGAGTTTTGACATTTTTGAACAATTGGGGGTTAAGATTTTGGATGAAAATCGGAAGTCGTAGAATTTGCGTTTTATGATCCTAAAATGTTACTATATGATTGATAATGATGAGTAGATATTTAATCGGGAAAAAAAAAATTAAATCGTTCGGATTTTCGGGCGAAAATGCAAAATCCCGTAGCCGTGTTTAGGCAAAATTCTGGATTTTCGGAAAACTTCGAAAATTCATATCTCTTGATCCGTAAGCCGGTTTTACTCCCCTTTCGAAGCGTTGGAAAGTTAAAGAGATGTTCTTTCTAGGAAAAATGGTATTGATTTTAGTATATGATCCAATTATAGCAGAATATTCGAAACATGTTATTTTATCAACTTTTACCGTCGTGAACGGGTGCGTTTGATGTGTTATCATATTGTATGCTTTCGATATATAACGTGTAGCTTGTGTGCTGTTATATGTTATGCTGTAGCTTTTGACAAATATATTGCATTGTTTAAATTGATTAAAAATGCGTGATGAATGTGATTGAGTTCGTTGTCGTTGGCGCGATATTATGAATATGTGTGCATTGCTTGATAAATGTGGTGATTGGTATTAATTGTGAATGCATATTATTTGTATGCGATTGTATGAGAAGAATGCATGAGAACATATTGTGAATATGTGTGCATTGTTTGATAAATGTGGTGATAGTATTAATTGTGAACGCATAATGTTTGTATACGATTGTATGAGAAGAATGCATGAGAACATATTGTGAATATGTGTGCATTGCTTGATACATGTGGTGATGGTATTAATTGTGAATGCATATTGTTTGTATGCGATTGTATGTGAAGAATGCATGAGAATATATTGTGGATATATGTGCATTGTTTGGTAAAGGTGATGATGATGTTGAAAATATGTGTATGTGTAAGGTCGTACTCACTGGGGTAGAATGATAAGATATCGTTCCTAGTGGAGTAATCACTGGGGTAGAATGACTATGTGTCGTTCCTAGTGAAATGATCATCGGGGTAGAATGACAAATGTTGTTCCTGGTGAGGTATAGTGACATGGTCGTATACACTGGGGTAGAATGACTAAGATGTCGTTCCTAGTGGAATAATTACCGGGGTAGAATAACTGAGATGTTATTCCTGGTGGGGTGCTCTCTGGGGTAGAATAACTGAGATGTTGTTCCTAGTGGAGTATACGTGATACAGTCGTACGCACTGGGGTAGAATGACTATGATGTTGTTCCTAGTGTTGGTGTTCACTGGGGTAGAATGACTATGATGTTGTTCCTAGTGGGGTATAAGTGATGTACCCATAATTTTGAATAGGAATTGATGAGTTGCATTGAGTTACATTGAGTTGTATTGAGTCACATGACATAGAGCTAAATGTTGTGTGAACATATGCAATTGTGTATAACTTGTGGAATTGAGAGTTGTAAATAAACATGATTGTATATGTTTATATGAATTGTGGTGAATTAATATAATGTGTATGTTTATGTGGATTGATTGAAACTATGGATGTGTGCATGATTGAAACTATGGATATGTGGATATATATATATATATATATATATATATATATATATATATATATATATATATATATATATATATATATATATATATATATATATATATATATATATATATATATATATATATATATATATATATATATATATATATATATATATATATATATATATATATATATATATATATATATATATATATATATATATATATATATATATATATATATATATATATATATATATATATATATATATATATATATTGTGATGTATATGATGATTATAATGAATTGTGGTGAGAAATGTGGAATAAGTGTTTTCTATGCTTGTGTGTGTATATATATATATATATATATATATATATATATATATATATATATATATATATATATATATATATATATATATATATATATATATATATATATATATATATATATATATATATATATATATATATATATATATATATATATGATTATATGCATTGTTATTATGATAATATTTCTCACCCTTCTGCTAGAATGATGTCCTATCTGACATCGTGCAGGTATCATGTGTAGAGCTGCTTATTGTTGCGAAGTCGCTATTGGGATAGTTGTTTAGTAATTTAATTATGTTAGGTCGAGTCATGTCTGGTTATGTAACACTGGGATCGTTTGGTGTATATTTTAGAGATACATTATGTATTCTATGTTATGTTTTCATATTCATTGGAATATTGTGATGTTGGTCTTAGTGCCTAAGAAATGTTGAAGTATGTGATGCATCTGATTATTCTGTTAAGAGAATTATGTTATAAAATGAATCTGCTGCTACATGCAAAGTGAAATTGTGAAAAACACGATTATTTATTAAAGTGTTAATGAGTATGACAGGTGATGTGATGTTTTGAAAGTGATGTGTGACGCCCTTTTGTAAATGCATGAGAATTTACTCTGATTATTCATATGTTTTCCGTGGGGTTTAGAAGGGTGTTACAGCGATGAAGGTTGTTATGGAGCGAGCGCTTGCGGACAAGAGAGCTAGGGTGGAGTTTCAATCGGACTGCATGAACTTGATAAAGGTTATGAAGGAAAACGAAAGAGACATCTCGAATAATACCATGGGATTGACATGCAGAAGTATGTGGAGGATAAAAACAGAATTTGCCAAAGTTCGTTTTAGGCATATTTAACGGGAGAACAATGTTTCGGTGCACCTCTTAGCTAAGGTTTATGTCTCTCAGACCAAACATCATCAAGATGGAGTCCCTTTCTAATTGTTGGACAGAGAACCTGTTTAATGGACTTCGCCATTATAAAAAAGAACATCTCTTTATATATCTCTTTATCTCACTCCCATTCATCACTAAAAATGAAAAATATAATCAAGAGAAAAAATAAAATTATAAAAGAGATAGAAAAGGAATGAGAAAAAAATAAGGAAGCCTAAATTGACCCCAAAATAAAGGAAAAGATTCAAAGTGACCTCAAAATCAATGTTTTTCTTATTTATCTTTATATATCAAAAACATTTTTTAAAAAAGAATTACACAATTTTTGATATATTTAACTATAATAGATTAATTAAAACATTTTTTTAAAAATAGTTTCTAGAACCACAAAATTAATGTTTTTTTAAATTTATTTTTAAATTTCCTGAAAACCATTTTCTTAGACAAATTTTTATGTATATTTAACTATAATAAACTTATTTGAAAATATATATTTTCAAAAAATTTCTAGAACCACATAGTTTTTTTTAATTTATTTTTAAATTCCTTCAAAAAGAAAATTTATTTAATTCAGCATAATTTTCTTCTATAGTTAACTATAATAACGTTAATTAAAAATAATTTTTTAAGAAATAATTTCTAGAATCACATACTAGTCATTAATATTTTTATAATTTATTCTTTTAAATTTCCTCAAAAACATTAAAAATCATTAAAGAAAAGAATACTCTAATAAATAAAAAATTGTCGACGATAGATATTTTCATTTGATTATTTTTACATATAAATTGTAGTTATGTCCTTCACTTTATATCTTCACATATCATCACAACTTCAGATATCAATCACATACACTGACACAAGTGTATTCCATTCCATCACCCTCTTTTTACACATCTTATCTCAAACCATGGAACTCTTCTTCTCCCTCCAATCATTTTTCATCCCCATCCTCTCGGTTCTCTTCCTTTATCTCTACTTTCGTTTCTTCACCATATCAAACAAACCCGGCTTCAAAACCTACCCTCTTGTCGGAGCTTTACCCTCATTTATATTAAACCGCCACCGCTTCCTCCAATGGACCACCCAAATCCTCCGCGACTGTCCCACCAACACCGCCGTTTTCATCCGCCCCGGCAGAATACACGGCATCATAACAGCCAACCCAGAAAATATACAACACATTTTAAAAACCAAATTCGAAAACTACCCTAAAGGCGAAAGATTCATCAGTTTACTTCAAGATTTTCTCGGTAGAGGAATATTCAACTCCGACGGTGATCTCTGGAAGCTTCAGAGAAAAACCGCCAGCTACGAATTCAACACCAAGTCCTTAAGAAACTTCATCGTAGAAAATGTAACTGTTGAAACGCAAACTAGGCTCATTCCTATTCTCTCAAAAGCAACTGAGAAAAACGAAGTCCTTGATTTGCAGGACCTTTTAGAATGTTTCGCATTCGATAACGTTTGCAAACTCGCTTTCAACGTCGACCCTGGATGTCTCGGCGGTGACGGCACCACCGGAAACGCCTCCTTCATGCGCGCTTTCGAAGACGCTGCAGTGTTAAGTTCTGGAAGGTTCATGTCTCTTTTCCCATCGTCATGGAAAGTGAAAAAGATTCTCAATACGGGAACAGAGCGGAGATTGAAACAATCAATCGCAGCCGTTCATGAGTTTGCTGATGAAATCATACGATCAAGAATGGAAGCGAAAGAGGGTCCTACAAAAGGTGAAGATTTATTATCACGCTTCATCAGTACAGAAGAAGCTTCACCGGAGTTTCTCCGTGATATCGTGATAAGCTTTATTCTGGCTGGACGCGATACGACGTCGTCTGCTTTGAGTTGGTTCTTCTGGATCTTATCTTCGAGAACCGACGTTAAAGAAAAAATAATCAAAGAAATAGAAACGGTGCGTTCAAGAAGTGAATCCAAAACGGCGTCGTTTGGTTATGAGGAATTGAAGGAGATGCAATACTTACACGCGGCGATTACGGAGGCGATGCGATTGTACCCGCCGGTACCGGTTGATACGAAGGCGTGTTTAAACGACGACGTTTTGCCGGATGGAACTAGAATTCCAAAAGGTTGGTTTATTTCTTACCATACTTATGCTATGGGGAGAATGGAGAGTGTGTGGGGGGAGGATTGTAATGAGTTTAAACCTGAGAGGTGGTTAGAAAATGAGAATGGTGATGGTGATTATGTTTGTAGAAGTGAGAGTCCGTTTCGGTTTCCGGTGTTTCACGCGGGTCCTAGGATGTGTTTGGGGAAAGAAATGGCTTATATTCAGATGAAGTCTATTGCAGCTTCTGTTATGGAGAGGTTTGAGGTTGTTGCGGTGGACAAAGACAAGTGTCCTGAGCATGTTTTGTCTTTAACTTTGAGGATGAAAGATGGGTTGCCTGTGCGTGTGCGAGCAAGGTAAAGGAAAGAGAGATGTGTGTGTTAAGGTTTGGATGTGAAGAAAGTTGATGCAAGTGGGAAGGCTAGAAGTATGTATAAAAGTGATTTTTAAAAAATATGGATTTATGTATCTTTTCATATAAGTATTTCCATATAAGTATTTTAGATAAAGAAGTGAGTATTTCCCATAGAGAAATGATTTGTGTTTGAATTATGTTGGTGCAGTTACTTGGATTATATCGTAAGAACTTTCTTTGATGGAGATCTTCCACCATCACCATACCGTGTTTCATTAGTCATGAAAAATAAAATATTATAATAATTATTTTTTAAATATAAAAAATCATTTTAAAGTCATTTTTAATCTTTAAATTTAAATAATATTGATATAAAATTATGTGACTAATTTCATTAATTAATTTTTATATTTTATTAATCAATTTTATTTACTTTAATAAATATTTTAATATTTAAATGTTTATTAATCAATTTTTTATATTTTATTAATTAATTTTAATTTATTATTAAAAATTATTTTTAATATCTTATTCAATCAATTACATCATTTCATTAATCAACTTTATTTCATAATTTAAAATTTTGTTCATATGCTATTTCCATTAAACATATAAATAGTTTTCATTAGTAAAAAGAAACACTTTAATCCCACGTAATAAATAAAAAAGTAACTCCCCATATTTCTGAAGGACTAAAAAATAGCAATTCAAATACTTTTTATAAATAACTGTACAATTCTCATATTAAATAAAATTATTCACCATTAATACTCGCACTAATTCATATTGTTATTCCACTGTACAACTCTCAAAACGTATTTAATTTAAATCTATTCCAAAACATACTAATAACTACCCCACTATTTCTACTAATAAAATAATACTAAATCATTAATAATTAAAATCTTAAAAAAAATCTTTTTTTAGTTAAAGAAAACTTTTAAAACCCGTCATTATTCTTCCACCAAATAAATATCTAACTCCTAATTTTCCAATGGCTAAAATCTAGCAAGTCAAAAATACTTTTATAAATAATAATAATTAAAAAAATTCATTGCTTTTGTATAAAAAAAATTACCAATAAATTTGAATAAAAAGTAGAAAACTAAAAAATTTATAGACATACGAAATTTAAATACGTTTCTTGACTATCATTATCCTATATTTATTTACTATTTGTAATAATATTGCGCGATCAGTGCGAGCGCACGAGTAGATGACTATTTAATGATTTCATTTATTTTTTCCAACTAAAATATACATTTTCGACGAGTCGAAACTACTTGATTTGTATATCTTTTATATACATTTCTTAACTATCACTATACGATATTTATTTACTATTTAAACGATATTGTGCCACTCGTGCGAGCGCACATATCCTTTGTTTGTTTTTATGAAAATAATATTCTCACCGTTTGTGATAATACTATTGCTAGTTAGTGGTCAAGGAAACCAATTCAATATTCATAAATCAAGCTTGACTCTAGTTTCAAGAGAAAATGCTTGACTCTGAATAGAATATCAAAGACTGAAAGTTACACAGAAGATGTCTCACTCGGTGTCTATTCCTACTATATGACAGATAGCTTCTGAAAAATAGTCTAAGATTCAAAAAATGAATCTTTACTTCTGATGAAGCAGTTTAAGTAAGAATTATTTTAAAATCCTTGTCTTACTTAAAATTTCATAGAGTTTAAAATCATTTAGTGTATTCAAAAAGTCTGCTCGGTAAGGACAATTGGATAATGATGTTTTCTTATTTTACATGTCTATGGTCTTTATCCCTTGTCTTTGTGAAACATCATTTCGTGTCACATTTTTTTGTCCCTCTGATAAGATTCTTATTCCTCAATGGTTAGAATCTTGTTTAGTTCTTTTCAAGTTATTTGTTTTTCTTTTGTGTGTTGACCAAACCAAATCTGAGATGAATCCTCTAGTCAACTCTTGACTGAATCAACTAGTAGTCATCAATGAAAAGTTTGTGAATTTTGAAGAGGCGCTTAAGCAATTTTGAAGAGTTGGAATGGATACTTTGATATGCTCTGTGGTTTTACTTATCTAAATCTTGTCAAAGATTTTTGGGTTAATGCTTTCATTATTGAGCTAAGTTCTGAGTATGCTATTCCTTCCCAGGTTTTTGGTGTTTCTATAACAGTAATCTCTAAGACGATTGCTAATGTAATCAACTATGAGGAGATTGAAGAAATCCTAAGTACTCTTGTTTGGAAATACTATCTTCCTACACAACGTGCTTTTGTAGATCTATCAAACCTTTCTCTGGTCTCAAATATTCATCCTGATGCACCTATTTAGAATCAAATTCTAAACACAAACTTACTTCCTAAGGACAAGGATCTAGACCTTGTGGACTTTATTGAAAAAGATTTGCCACTTCTTCTCAATTCAGACTTATAAATGATCTTCCTCAAATCATGTTTGACTATATGAAGAAGACTCTTTCATCTTTTCACAAAGAAAAGACACTATTCATTCCTTTTGGACGAGTTCTTTCTGAGTTGTTGATCCAACAAGGAGTTGTCATAAGTTCTGAGGATGACTCATTTAAAATCTGGAAAGAAAAGCTTGAAGTTATCTATTAGAGACTCTGATGTTGGTTTTTTGCAAATATATGCCTTGTAATCGTTAAATATCTTATATTAAGCAATCTTATTGTTAAAAATTGTTCATTATCTTTGTTCATATTCTTGTGTGTCTTAACTGTTAAATGTGCATTTTTATGTTGTTTGGAGAATACAAATTAGGACTAAAACTTAAAACACTTGCAACATACTCATTGAATGATTGGAAGAAAATACATATTATCAAAGAAATTTTTTCTAGACATTCTAATATGTTATAAGGAATTCTCTAGGCTCATCTAACATATCTAGATTGTTTAAAAAATATTCTCAATCTTCCTTTGCAAACTCAACAACTTCCTTCCTTAGAAGATTCCAACATTTTGACTTGGAAGTTCTTTTTCTTCTTTGTGTCTCAACAAAGGTTGCTAGAGATATATGTGCTTCTGAAGGAATCATCTTGCTTGAAGATGCTTGAGTTGCTACATTCTTCTCGTTTGCTTGAGTTGCTACATTCTTCTCGTTTGCTTGAGTTGTTGCATTCAGTATTGATGTCTTTCTAAAATCTCTCTTTGCAACCCAAATCTGCTTCTGCTTATACATTTTTGGTGTTCTAAATATTAAGTGATTCAGAATGATGGTTTGCTGAATGTTTTATAGTAACTATTCATTTATTATCTTGAGCGTTTAGAGTTTCAATATTGATTAGTCAAATAAATCTTTTAATGTCTGACTCTTGAAAAATGATGTCTAGTATATAATCCTAATAAAGATTCTCTTAAGACAACTAGAAATATCATCTTAAAAACTATCTGTTGGTTTTGTTATTTCATATGTTCATCTTTTTACTTCGTTTATGTATTTGTTAGAAAATCAAAAGAAAAAGTAAAAAACGGTACTTATGTAAATATAATAATGGTCAAAAAAATTTCATTAATCATAAAAAAATAAAGGATTACATAAATGACAGAGGACATTAAGGTTAAACTAATCTAACTCCTCTAAAGCCCTACAACCCACCCAATTTCCCCAATCAATATCAGGCTCATCCTCATCCTTGCAGTCAGAAAAAACTATCTGAAACGACATCTTATCTCAACTCTTCTTTTTCTTTCTCGTCATTGAATTCCTCTTTGGTTTTAGAACAGTAGTTGATGGACCGACTTCAGAAGGCCTAATTATTGTTGATGATGAGCCCTCCTCAGAAGACTTCGGTAGAGAAGATGAGGATCCATTTTCAAAAGCTTCAGAAGAGATTGGTTTCTGAAGACTCTTCATCTCAAGACTAGTAATATCTTATGAAATATTTGTTATGACAAAAATGTTGGCGCTCTCAGATGTTGCTTCCATGATTGCGCTAAAGGATGTTGATGAATATGACTTATGGTTCGGTTGCTTTTATAGTAGAGTCTGAGTAACCTAAAGGATGGAAATCCTTTTCTTGATCCTTGGAACTATTACGAACAATAACTATTAAAGATGCATCGTACAAGATTTTAATGCTCTCTACTACTTGAATCGTTTTCTCTGCCTTAGGAATCGATCATGTAATGATGATCTGTTTTGCATTTATGAATGTATTTCTTTCGTTTATTTTTTATTTTTATTTTTCATGTGACAAAAGGGGTAGAAAGATATAGAAGTATTTAATAGAGAATCTGAACTCATTCAATTTTAATATTGTTTATTTTAATTATTTTGTTTTAATGTTGTTTATTTTTAAAGTTTTGTTATTTCTGTTATTTTGGTTACTACTCAAGAAAAATATTTTAGTTTTCTTGATAGTAGAACTTAGCTGGAGCTTACAAACCTCAATATTTGGGCTATTAGACTCAGGGGGAGCTTACAAATCTCATACTCTTATATTGCAAATTAAATTAAAATATATTTTAGTTTTCTTTTATATAAAATTAAGGGGGAGCTTACAAACCTCAACCTTAGACTATTAGACTCAGACGAAACTTACAAACCTCAGACTCTGATGTTGCTAAGAAATTTAAAATAGCCCAACATTGACATATTTTAGTTTTCTTAAATATAGAACTTATGGGGAGCTTACAAAGCTCAACCTTTAACTATTAGACTGTTGAATGCCAAACTTGCTTTAAATTGATCATTAATTATTGGCATTTTTCAACTCTTTTGTATTGTTTTGTTGGATTTGCGCCATGTTATCATGTTATTATTCAATATTGTGAAAATTCCTTTGGTTGTTTTGATTTGAGTGTTATTGTGCAGAAATTAGGCATAAAAACATCAAAGTGTAAGACACAAGCAAGTGGGCAAGGAAGCCAAAGAAAGAGAAGGATTTCAGCATGTTCGATGTGTGAGCAACCAGCAAGGAGTGCTAGCGAATGTTCGCTATGCGAATTCATGGCGAAGTCCCAACGAAGCATCTCAGATAGATGGCAGTAAAAAAAAGG